ATCTGATTTATTACGTGTAAACATGGCCAAACACTGCTCTGAATCATCAACATATTGTTGTTTTTGATCGACTGTGAGTAAACGCGGCACCCACTTTGAAAAGACTTTACATGACTTATTGACTGATGTATTATGTATATTACCATCCTGGCTTAGATAAATGTAAACTTCTAAGTATTAAGCCTTATGATCACATATCTCCCCTTTAATTACTAGAATAAAGTTTCCGCATCACATTATACATATATTAACATATATGTACATTATATATATAAAACTTAAATAATATTACATTATCTTATATATAAAATTAACATTGTCAAAATGTTAGTTACCGTACTCCTCCGAAACGGCTTTACCGATTTTTATCAAATTTTATATGCGTATTCAGTAGGTCTGGGAATCGGCTACTATCTATTTTTCATACCGCTAAAGTGATTAGGGTATCCCTATCCAGCAAAAATATCTTTAATGCTTTAACAAAAATTTTTTTAATTTTTTGACATACATTTTTTTATATTTTTGAAAAAGAAAACTTGCTATGATATGAAAAGTTGTTGTCTATGAAAATACTCAATTCATAAAACTGCCCCTAATTTCTGCACTATCGTTGATTCCCAAAATGCTCTCATTGACCGCGTATTTCCAGATGTACACATACAATACATAAATCTGGCTGACAGAAAGAGCCATTAGCAGAAAAAAAAACGTGGACGTTGATGAATTAAACTTCAAGATAAAACAGACATTGCCAAGCGACTTAATATCATACAAATCGATCGATACAGTTTGTGATACCAACGAAGTTGTAAACTATCCAGCAGAGTTTTTAAACTCACTGAATTTGCCAGGCATCCCACCACACATTTTACGACTGAAAGTTGGATCACCGATTATTTTACTTCGGAATTTGAACCCACCACGGCTATGCAATAGTACGCGATTGGTAATTAAAAAATTAATGAAAAACATTATCGAAGCCACCATTTTGAATGGCAAGGTCCGAAACGAAAAACTTTTATTGCCAAGAATTCCAATGATTCTCACAGACAAGCCAATTTAATTCAAACGCGTTCAATTTCCTATTAGATTGACATTTGCAAAGACCATCAATAAGTCACAAGGCCAAACGATGTCTGTTTGCGGTCTTACATATAAAATTTCCATGTCACAATGTTAGTTACCGTACTCCTCCGAAACGGCTTTACCGATTTTTACCAAATTTTATATGCGTATTCAGTAGGTCTGAGAATCGGCTACTATCTATTTTTCATACCGCTAAAGTGATTAGGGAGTCCCTATCCAGCAAAAATATCCTTATTGCTTTAACAAAAATTTTTTTATTTTTTTGACATAAATTTTTTTATATTTTTGAAAAAGAAAACTTGCTATGATATGTAAAGTTGTTGTCTATGAAAATACTGAATTCATAAAACTGCCCTCTAAAATCTGCACTATCGTTGATTCCCAAAATGCTCTCATTGACCGCGTATTTCCAGATGTACACATACAATACATAAATCATGGGTGGCTGGCAGAAAGAGCCATTGGCAGCAAAAAAAACGTGGACGTTGATGAATTAAACTTCAAGATAAAACAGACATTGCCAGGCGACTTAATATCATACAAATCGATCGATACATTTTGTGATACCAACGAAGTTGTAAACTATCCAGCAGAGTTTTTAAACTCACTGGATTTGCCAGGCATGCCACCACACATTTTACGACTGAAAGTTGGATCACCGATTATTTTACTTTGGAATTTGAACCCACCACGGCTATGCAATAGTACGCGATTGGTAATTAAAAAATTGATAAAAAAACATTATCGGAGCCACCATTTTGAATGGTAAGTTCCGAAACGAAAAAGTTTTATTGCCACGAATTCTAATGATTCTCACAGACAAGCCAATTTAATTCAAATGCGTTCAATTTTCTATTAGATTGGCATTTGCAAAGACCATCAATAAGTCACAAGGCCAAACGATGTCTGTTTGTGGTCTTATATATAAAATTTCCATGTCACAATGTTAGTTACCGTACTCCTCCGAAACGGCTTTACCGATTTTTACCAATTTTTATAGGCGTATTCAGTAGGTCTGAGAATCGGCTACTATCTATTTTTCATACCGCTAAAGTGATTAGGGAGTCCCTACCCAGCAAAAATATCCTTATTGCTTTAACAAAAAATTTTTATTTTTTTGACATAAATTTACATCCACTTCGTTTCTTCGTCTTCGCCTTGCATGGTAGATGGAAAATGTACTAAAAATTTTTCTAAAGATTTCACTAATGATACTATAACAAATACCGACGGATATCCAATATATCGTCGAAGAAATCCCGATAATGGGGGAAAATGGTGGGTGGTGCCGTATTCGCCTCTGCTAAGCAAGACATACAATGCTCATATTAATGTTGAGTTTTGCAGTTCTGTGAAGAGCATCAAATATATAAGTACGTCCATAAAGGCAGTGATATAGCTGTGTTTAGAGTAGAAAATACTAATGTAAATGCTTCAATGAACAAAAACGGTGAAATTATGCTCTACCAAATTGGTCGGTACATCAGCACCAATAAAGCTGCTTGGCGTATCTTCGGTTTTCTAATTCATGAACGGGATCTAGCAGCTGTTCAGTTAGTCGTCCATCTTGAAAACGGTCAGCGTGTATTTTTCACGAACGAGACAGTGATTGATCGTGGTACAAATCCACCTAAATCTACACTCACTGCATTTTTTGAATTGTGTAATAGTACGGATGATTTTGGTGCCTTTGCAAGAACATTACTCTATTCACAAGTACCACGCTGTTTCACATGGGCTCAAACAATAAATGGATGCCCCGCAAGCAAGTTTCAGCAGTTGATGCATGTCTCAATTTATTTAAATCGAACGCTTATTTACAGTTAATCCAAGACACACTGAGTGCTTTTATCTCCGACTGTTGTTGGTTAATGTTACTGGCCCATTATCATTATTATTATTTACAGTCAATCCAAGACAATTTAAATTTGAAGATACAACAGTTGTTGCCAGAGAACTTGGTATCATACAAATCTATTGATTTTAAATTAATAATTTAATAAATAAA